TTTAGTTAATCTCATGAACACAAATATATTAAGACTTTGCGAAACATTTATTGTCTGCTGTTTTGAGTTGACACATCATTGTCGATTTTGCTTTCTAAAGTGTTTCAAATTTAACAGTTTTTGGGAAAATTGTTTAAATCACATGTGAGAATGCTCAGATGTGAGTGGAACTACAACTACCATTCACCAAATGCGGAGCATCAAAATCTACTAGGCCTCGAGGTATTAATTTCACCACGTGTCTCGATTTCCTGTTGTACTTAGGTTGGTAAGACCATATAAGCGTACATACAATTAATAATTCCACAACCTGTGGGTGTCTTGTTGGCATATTGCAACAGTGTGCTTTCAATTAAAACAGTGTGTTTTAATGACAAACTTCATTGATAGTGTTTTCAAGATTTACAGTACATGTTGAGTAGACCGTGCTTTGAGTTCAGTGGATTGATCAGTGCTCTTAAAATCCCAGCAAACGAAACGTAACCATTGTAACAATGGAGGAGTGCTATGTCCACATACCACATACGTCGATTTATAATAATATGATCATACAAGCGCTTTAGTCAGAAGTCAAACGAGCCTTTATGGCTGTGGCAGGACTTTAGCTGAACTGTGGCCGTGGGTGTGGGTATATATCGTGTAGTATATATATATATATATATGTTGTACGAAATACTGGATACAACTGACAGAGTGGTCATAGGTCAAAGAATGACTATGTTGTATACTGTACATCCATATATCTAAAAATATAAACTACAGGTCATTTATGCTGATTGGGGGTATTCAAGTAATGAAATATGCAAATGTGGTTGCACTGTTCTATATAAATTGTGTCCTGTTACGACACACCACGCTTTGTACTTTGTACGTTTTATATATACACCTTGTTGAGCACCTGCTCCTAACAATGAGGAATTTCCTTCGAATCAACATAGTCGTGAATCTTGTGTTCTGTACCAATTGTTTTTGATGTCAATTTATCTGTAGTATTGTTGATATTTCACAATATTTTGTCGCTTGTCAAGAAAGTGCAATATATATATATATATTACACAGATTCAAAATACACATATGTTATGTTATTAACAAGGACATCAACCACAATCACGTATCACGTTAACTCGTTTCAACTCATCATAATGCTCATCAATACATATATCCGCTCTTTTGTGAAGAAATTACCAATGTTGGTCCACCCGCTTTTCTTCGAAAAGCTTATAAATCAATGTTTTGTGTGAAACAAAATTGATGATTAACGTTTCGTTTTGTTTTCGTGTCATGTTTACAGCACTGTTCTCACGCATTTGTCATGGTTTATTATCAATAATCACATAGAAGGCGATTATGCAAATATGAAAACACGTAAATAGAAACCGCACAACAGCTGATGTTGAAAAATAACAACCAATACGATAACTAGTGTGTCGTCATGGAAACCATATCAAAGCCGATTTACTATCTTTGAATATGTGATAATCTCCAGGTGAATATTTGACAATACAGTATCGATGACGTCATTTTAACATTTTGACAGTGCTGATCTCTGAGTGTCTTCTTGTATCATCTTGTATTTTTTGTGGCAAATTGAGAAAATTGAGTCGAAATGAAAAAAAAAAAACTATGTTATCGCGCACGCTGTTTCACCTTTCAATATTAATTGCAGATGATGGACGCACTTACAATTTAGGTTTTTCACTTGCAGTATTCGTCGATGTATCAACGGCTTGTTAATAATTCAATAGTAATCGCCTTCGTTTTTCCAGATTAATATGACTAATTTAAAGGTAAACCTTGTATACATAGCAAGAGGGCAAGTTGAGTTCACATTACATTTTATTCTATTGAAACACTTTTTCCATTATCGATTAAGTTGTTAATTTCAATTTCGGGAGAGTATGTCACTTCAATCACTATTGATTGTACGGAATTAGAAAGATTTGTTAGTATGTGTTGTGATGACAATGAGCAGGATGTATCGGTTGTGTTATAACTCGATACCATGCGTGCATGTATACGTGTATACAGAGATAGTTAAAATATCAGAACACTGTTGTTTATTGATTAATGGGACGTAGAAGTGTAGTACTAATCTAAAGCACTAAAGCATTATTTATATATCAGTACAACTTTTTATTAATGTTAGAAACAAATTAAATTAAATAAAGTAACAAATGTGAATCATTAACAAAATTAAGATGTTGAATTCTTGGGTTAACTATTGGGGGAGGGTGTGTAATGTAAAATGTACAGGGTCAATGTTGCACAATATTTTAGAAGAGTATTTAAGCCATCGGCAAAGTCAGAGAAATACTGGCTTCGAAAGCTTAACTAAAATTTGGAGAGAATATGTTGACACTAAAAGGAACAAGATACTATAGTGGTTATCGGCCATTTAAGTCGACTTTAATACGTTTGCATAAAAATGGGGAGAACGAAAGACATTCATTGCGTTACTCATGCTTGGGCCGTTGCAGTAATTCTAATTGATGATCGTCGACTTTTTGATTTATATATATAGAATAATTATGAAGGCATTCGTGGTTCTCCGTGAAAACAATGTCTTAATATCACAAAACGACTGTGAATTCAATTTACTTAGAAAGTGATTAGTATTTCAATTGAATTCATAAATAATAATTTGTCTAATTAGTTCGTATTTCAGGTAACCTATTTTTAGACTGTACTTTTCATACGTATGTGGTATAACAGATGAGGTTCGTTTGTTTGTTTCTTTCCGATGTTTTTGTTTGAGATCAAATGCATTTCAATTTAGTCTTGTCAGATGTTTTACCCATCCAGAAGTTCTATACAACCGTACAACCTCCCATTACGATACCCAGCTTGTGGGATCTATGCGACCCTACAACTACCCACTAACATGCCTAGCATGTGGGATACTGCGCGACCCTACAACCTTCCATTACGATACCCTGCTTGTGGGATTCTACGCGACTCTACAACCTCCCATTACGACGCCCAGCTTGTGGGATTCTACGCGACCCTACAACTACTCATTACGATACCCAGCTTGTGGGATCTATGCGACCCTACAACTACCCACTAAGATGCCAAACTTGTGGGATACTGCGCGACCCTACAACCTTCCATTACGATACCCTGCTTGTGGGATTCTACGCGACCCTACAACTACCCATTACGATACCCAGCTTGTGGGATCTATGCGACCCTACAACTACCCACTAAGATGCCTAGCTTGTGAGATACTGCGCGACCCTACAACCTTCCGTTACGATACCCTGCTTGTGGGATTCTACGCGACCCTACAACTACCCATTACGATACCCAGCTTGTGGGATTCTACGCGACCCTACAACTACCCATTACGATACCCAGCTTGTGGGATCTATGCGACCCTACAACTACCCACTAAGATGCCTAGCTTGTGAGATACTGCGCGACCCTACAACCTTCCGTTACGATACCCTGATTGTGGGATTCTACGCGACCCTACAACCTCCCATTACGATACCCTGCTTGTGGGATCTACGCGACCCTACAACCTTCCATTACGATACCCTGCTTGTGGGATTCTACGCGACCCTACAACCTCCCATTACGATACCCTGCTTGTGGGATTCTACGCGACCCTACAACCTCCCATTACGATACCCTGCTTGTGTGATTCTACGCGACCCTACAACTTCCCATTACGATACCCTGCTTGTGGGATTCTACGCGACCCTACAACCTCCCATTACGATACCCTGCTTGTGGGATTCTACGCGACCCTACAACCTTCCATTACGATA